CAGATGGCGCCATCGACCGAGTTTCGAATTAGCGTCTAAGATCTCGAAGTTCTCTTGTAGCAACCACTGAGTGGAGTCTTCAAAAATAGAAACAAACAGAATCACAAGATTCTAATCTTTGTGGACTATGAAACGCAAATTTTGATTGATTCAGCTCTTTTGGTAACATCTGCTGAAATTGGGTCACGTGAATTTGAAAAGAAATTATGTTTATAACGAGCAAAAGGGCCACTTGCACAAGTCGCACCTGAGACAACTGCTTGCACAGCTCACCGCTGTGTTGGAAAGTCCCCGGTTCACTTAGTCGCTGAGAAGCACTATTCTCAAAGGATTGGTTACTGTAAGATCTGTGAGTGGCGAGGAGACTGTTGAAGTCGAGCCGTAGGTCTTCGCAGTTTCATGAACCAAGAAGGAGATTTATAGCCTGGTACCGTATTCGGTCTACAGAATGGGGCTTATGTTCTCGGGAGTGCCAATTTTTCATGATATTTGAACATGTCAAAGTCTGCAATCCGCTACTATCTCTAGCCAGATTCTGTACTTCAAACTTGAAGAAACTGACAGTTTAGAGACTTTAGACTTAGACTAGAGGATGATTCAAATAAACATGTGTAGCGTTCACCTATTTCACTGTTCAACCTTTTCAGGAATTGATGTTCTGTTCCTGTGTATTTTCCTGCTTTGAGTTTATTTTCACGTTGATAATTGCGCTAAGGCATATTCCCAAAATCTTACCAAAAAAATTAACAGAAAACTGTCATCACGCTTCAGACTAATTATCATCAAGCAATGTGCAACCCATGATGGGTTAAAATTGTTATTTCTAATACTTACATCATAAGAAGAAGCTATACAAGGTGGGCCAAAAAAGTAAACCAATTTTTGACTTGAAATAGCTTGGTAGCAATTGAGCTGTGGAAGTTTAAATTTGATTGAAATTCTGCTTGATTTCATCAAAATTTGAAATCTGAAATGAGTGGCGTGGAGGTGAGTGGCGTGACGTGGAAGTGACTGGCAGTGAGTAGAAAACTGCTGAAATGTCTAGGTGCCAATTTTCCACAGGGAATTGCCCCGTGATGGTCAGCAGAAACCCTAGGCAACCCTACCTAGCCTATCTATGTGAAGGGGGAGAACTATGCTGACATCCAAAATTTCAAAAAGGTTTACATTATTAGGAATTTAAATGCTGTATTAATTGAATTTTCATCCTACGAATTATTTATCATAAGATCGAAAATCACACAAACGATTGCAATTTTGATTTTATTGGTTGACCCCAATTGCAAATAACTCAAATTATTAGTGCCCAATTGAAATCACACTTTATTTTCAGAAATGTCTTTCTGAATCAAAATTGCAAGCATTAAAATTTCAATTGTCCTTGCAATTGGGGTTACTTGCGGCGAAATTAATAACCGTGATCGCAAACGCCATATTTGTTCCAGAAATGGATCTGTAAAATGACTAAATTTTCTGCACAATAGGTTGAGTTCATTGGCTGCCTGATGTGCACAGAGCAATGATGTCAAACCCTTTTCAACGGAATAATGTGTCATTAATACACTGACGTACAATAAGTCAGATAAACCCATCATAGCCTAGATCAAGCGTTTTTTCCAACTGGTCGCTCATCCAGGTCATCGTGGCCAGCGTATAGTGGGGGCAACTCAAACTGAAGTAGATCGTTGCACAGCAGTTTGGTGGCGGGATTTCGGGCTCCAACACCGTGTTGCCCTGCGCACAGGGCTGCTAGTTGCTGCCTGATGGCACAAGTGGAAGGAAGTGAGTGACTGGTGTGAAAATTAAGAAAAAGTCACTTTTTCTTACACGATAGAATGAAAAGTGAACAAAAAGTTTTCATATTTTTACAGTGAAATCAACGTAAAGCGTTATAAAGAATTATTGTTTCAAGCTATAATTCATCTTCGAGGTCCCAGCTCAAGTATATGGTCTCTATGTTTTTTTTTATACTCATCAGAACGAATTCTTTGTCATGTGAGCATTCAAAGATTTTTGAATCAAAGGTATTTTTCATATGTCCCAAGTGCAATGCTTTGCTCTAACGAACTTTTACTCTACTAGTCTACTGTGTATAATAAGGATTAATCTTGTGACTTAAATTCCGATCAACAGTCCGGCGATAAATGTCTCGAACTCCTGAACAGTTTGCTTTAGAAGTGCGGTGGTTTGTGCTAAATAAGGAATATATGTTAATTGGAAGAAGACGGTGCATTTTCCGCCTGAAAATTTCAGTATTCCTTACAGCTCTCTTTACTAAAAAAATATACAAGTGGACTCTCTTTCTCTCGGCAACAATCTTGTCTGCAACGATTTTCGCTGTACGATGCTATTTTATTTTTGTTCCCAATAGGATTCTCTCTGTAGGACAATATTATAATGGTTCCCTGTTGCAACGAAATTCTCTCTTCAACAAATTTCTCTTCTGGTCCCTTGAGTTTCGTGTACAGTATAGAAGAGAGTCCACCTGGTATTTTATTTTCTTTGATGTCATATTTAAAATTCGTTCTTGCTTACGTCTGTTCTATTTTCATTTTTGGTTGCAATAGGGACTGAGATTCTTTTAAATTTGTTTTGCAAGGTGTTACGTTCCAATTCATCGCAGTGGTTGGTATATATACAGTAGTGCAATAAAAAGGACGACTTCGAATCTGTTGTTATTCCTCATTATTGAAGAACAATAAGTGACTAAATTCTTCCCTTATTGACGGTTGTTCACCACTTTCTTTGTATAACTGCCCGAAATATTTAATCAGGCTGATTTATTCTCAAACTTCAACATAAAAAGCCAAGGTTCAAATGCGCGATTTCAGATCGATTCGAATGCTGTACATTTTTTTGGGACAGTTATTCATTATCCGTATAACTCTTCTCTCGATAGCGGTTTTTTTTGGTTGATTCGAATGCTGTACATATTTTAAGACAAATTTATGCTCAAGCTTCGACATATGGACATGAGCATGGTTCGAATGCACAATTTCGGAGTGATTCGAATGCTGTACATATTTTTGGGACAGTTACGAATTATCCGAATAACTCTTCTCAAGAGCGGTTCTTTTTGGTTCATTCGAATTTTGTACATATTTTAGGACAAATAAATGCTCAAGCTTCGACATGAACATGGGCATGGTTCGAATGCACAATTTCGGAGTGATTCGAATGCTGTACATATTTTGGGGACAGTCATTCATTATCCGAATCACTCTTCTCAATAACGGTTGGTTTCTTGGTTGCATAGACAGCGTTAAAAGGACAGCCTCAAAGTGGTTCCAGCGGTTGCCTTTCATAGTAACTAAATTTTTCCCCGCAGCAGCTGGCGAAACATTGCATCTCATCTCATTCACATTTCTCCAGACTAGGACCAAAGAACTTTCTCTATTCCACCAAGTCGAGCCGGCCGACGATGACTATATACTGACTCACTGAGTAACTTTGTGTCCTGTATCTTGTCTTATATCGTGTGACATTGAATCAGTTTTTTCGGCTGAGCTTTAAACGAAACGAAATGAAATTTTATGAAATCACTTCGAGCTTTGCGTGAAATTTTATTGTTGACTTCGAAATATGAATGAAATGGGTACTCACTGCTTAACTGTGTTTTTTTTTTACAATTATTGCTCAAATTGTAGACTTTCGGAAAGCTTAGGGATTTTTCTGCGACCATGGGGTACATTTTATTTTATTCTGGAATGTGATGGATTGTATTTCCAACTTCATTTTTTTCGCTCGCCCGGCTGAATTGAAATAATCACGTCATTTCTCACACAGGAAGTCGCGAGGGGATGATTTTCATGTGCAAATGAACCATAACGAAAATTTATTATGGTATTTGAATACGTGATTGTTACGAAATACGGTAGGTTTTTAAATACTGTATTTATTTTCAAGTTCATGCATTCGAGTTTTTCTTGAAAAAAAATTGGCACATATGATTATTTGTAGAAAATTACTTATGAATTTAGGCTAATTATTTTGAATGTTATTCGCGCTCCAATTTCAAAAAAATATTTCACGGTTCAGGAAGTTCTGGTTCTTATAACTATCAGCAACGCTTGACTCATTCATTGAAAATGAGTTCGATGCGAATAATTTCTTGGTTCATGCGCTGAATACGTTCCTATAAGTCGTCCTTTATTTTAATAATATTCAAATGAACAGGTTTGCCCCAGTTTTTTCAAGACTGATGTGGTTTTTCTCGTTTAACCAGCGGATGTTTCTGGATTTAGTTTCCCAGCCAGCATCTGTGATTTCGTCAGCTGTGTTTCGGTCCTGGTAAAAGGTTCCTCGAGACTTTTTCCATCATAATTGTTGAGAAGAAAGTCATTTTTTAACGCGCAGTCTTGAGAAACGACGAGACGGGAAACTTATCTCTAAAGCCAGGCATTATAGGCAAGGTTTTATGGCCATTATTGCTGTTATTGTTGCTTCTGCTTTATTTTCTGTGATCATCTGAATTGAATGACTATCTTGCAGATGAATAGTAGGTTTCACTTCAGTGAAAGAAGTATTTTCGAAAAGTAAAATTTCCGGCATACAGTTTTTCTTCCTTTTCTTTTTGGTTCACCAACAGTTGAAATAGTTGAAGAAATCTCGCAAGAACAGAATTTTCGGATTTCGGGCAAGAAAAAAAATACTATACAGTAGTGCCTTATACGGTTTAACCAGGATAATCAATTTATCGGAGAACATTGAAAGTTTGAGTGCAGGTTTGGAGCTTAAAAGGTTCTCATCCATGAAACGTTTGCTTGCGTTGAGATTGTCTCCTCTGAAGTCACTCATGCTGTAGCTGGGTCAGCCTTATTTTGTATTCCCCTCTCCCTATACTTCAGGTCAGTCTCGTGGAATTCGGAGGAATCCCCCGCGTGTGTGAAGGGACTTCGCGTTTGTGCGGTATTTTTCCATCCTTCTCATGAATCCGGAAAATTTTTCTCGCTAAATGGCCCACCACTCGAAGAGTGTTGCAAGGAACGAATCCCACATATCCCGTTTTTTTTTTTACGGAAATCACTTTGAGTCAGCTAAACGCGTGGCATATTCGCAGTGTCGTGTGGGAGTGTTTTCGTTATTACAAAAGACTCGAATGAATCGAGATACGTCTTTATATTAGATACCGTGTTTGATTGCATATGGAAGTGATCGTGAATTAAAAACTCTGAAACTGTTTTTTGGAAATATATCCCCACGCGCAATTTTATCCTAGAGGCACAGAAAGAGCCGGATTCATTTTTGAACAATTTTCTGTGTATCTATTTTCAATAATTGAAGCATGCGTAGAGTCAACAGACTCTTTTGCATCTGAAGAAATTATCGCGGGAATTGAACTTTTTTGGAGTACAGCACAGTACAGTACAGTAAAATCTTGTTACAACAAATAGAGCTACAAAAACATTTTCAGTACAACGCACTTTTTCTCAAGTCCCAGCAGAAAGCCCATAGAGTATCACTTAAAGCAATACCTCTTTGTAACAAACTTCCCAATTCTCTTATTTAAAAAATTTAAGGGATGTATGATTCTCCATGTAGAAATTTACTGACTAAGGCAGCAGGCACAGTTGGAAATTTCTCATACTAAAATTCTGACTGGTTGTTATAGCATGGATGGAATTTGTAATTAATGACAAACATGTTTCCAAGTGGTTTTACACGCAACGTCCTCCCAGAATTAAGACATCGGTGCAAATGATGGAATCCTTGATTTGATCTTGTTTTATTTTCACGAGTTCACTCAGTTTCAAACAATTATAAAACAATTGAGAATGATAGAAAATCAAGATCTGACCGATCATAGGCATGTCTGATGCTAAAATTTGTCCGGTCATCAATTTTGAAAATCTCTTCTGTTTAAAAATGTTTTTCTCAAGTCCCCAAGAAATTTTTTTTCATGAGATGTTACCGTATACCTTTGCTTTAAAAAAATTTTCGGCGTCCATCTCTACATTTATATCAGTAAAAACTGTACCCGGTGGTCCTTCCCCATCGCAGGTGATAACGGAAGGATTTCGGGTGCGAAAAATGTTCATTCGCGATCGTGACTCACTCTGAGACGGACGAAGTGTGTCAGTTGTTGAACAAGTGTGCTTGTCCTTTCGCTGCGCCCAGAAAACCGGCGAACATAGTGTGTCCGAGGAGAGAGAAGCGAGCGAAAAAAATAAATAAATAAAATAAAGTAGACGAGATTCCGGGGGAAAGTTATCTTTCCCTTATCAACCGGACGTGCTCAGCCAGCTATGACGTGGTGCTGAGGAATGAACACAAGATTTCTTCCCTGTGGTCCAGAAGAAGTGAGGGCGAGATCTTCATCGGTACATACACACAGAAAGTGTGTTGTGTTGGTGTTGGTGTGTGTGTGTGTGTGTTTGGGTGTGTGTGTGCGTGAGATTGTGGTTGAAGAATTTTTTTCTCAAAGTCGCGAGGAGAAAAAGAAAAAGTAGATTCAACCAAGAGCAAACTTTGCAATCGAGTGGTGCTTGTGACACCCGGTTGTTGCCGACGTCGAGATCGGTGACGTGTTGGAACCATGGCGCCGACGGCTTTTGAGCCACCCAGGGTCGACATGATGACGCCGAAGCTTGACCATGGCGACGAGGTTAGTGTTTTTCTTCTTTTTTTTTGCTTATTGCCATTTGACGGATGCATTCATGATTTTGTCGATGACGATGCTATCATTGAAAACAAATAGGGCGATATTTCAAGCTGAAAGATTTTCCGTTAGTATCCGGGTAAATTTTCGAATGCCTTCCTCCTGTAAACGCAAACCACGGATGATCAAGGTTTCATTTCTCATATGATCCTTGCTCAGTGAACCTTCGTGTGATTCAGTGTAATTTTCAACTAGAACCCCGGGTCTGTTAATATTGATTTATGTAGCAATTCTTCTTTTTTTCGCACAATTTTGAAAAAAAAGAAATTGCGCATCTTACATGGGTTAATATAGGACACTTGAAAAAAATAAGGCATTTAGTTCAATACAAGAACGTCATGGGCTCCGAATTGAGACGTCGACCACGGAGTTTATTCAAAGGAAAATTATACGATATTTTCACCCGTCCGATTTTTCAAGTTTTTTTTTTTTTTTTTTGAAGAGGTAGATATATTCATTGTTTCGCGATTCTTTAGGTTGAGTAGCTAAACTTGAACCAATTCATTTCCTGAGACTTGCCTCGAACTTATTAAAGTAAACCAAGTCATATCAACATGCATAAAACATTATATAGCATTTTTTCATATTGAATCGTTTGGTTATTCAGTCGATGATTTGTGCTAGAATTATTCAAGAAATTCGGTAAACTTCGTCAAACGAGTTTTCTCGAAGAAGTTTTTTATTTCTCTTGGGCTGAGGTACTTCTGAATTCACGGTCAATTGTACTAACTTGGACAGCAGTCGTAGAAGTTAATAAAATTCTTCATTCAAATCCTTCTTGGTGACTTTTAACTCATACAGTTTATCACACGATCGTTTCAGCTCACGATGTTGTGATTACTGTTTACTGTGTCACTATTTTCATGCAAACGACCAGTTGTCCTTGAAAACCTTGAGTTCTTTCTCACGGGATTAAATCTTTCCCTCGATGGTTTAATTAGTGCGAAAAGCGAAACTGCGAAGATAATGAACGTTCTTTGTTTGCCCAGAGATTTTCCGAGGCGATTGCAGCAGATGAGGCATTCATATTGTTTATTTTTTATAGCCTTCAAATCATTCCTCTGGATGTTTTCAAATTTCAATGTGGTCATTATACTGGGTGCCTCGCTCCGTAAGCCGTATACATTGAGATAACACCACTTTCGCATTTATTTTTTTGTATACAGTAATGCAGGAAGATTCCCATGGTTTTCCTTGATGTTCGTGTGTTTCGTACATGTTTTTATTGTGCAAAGACGCATTTCTTTCTCTCTCGTCTGGTTGGTCAACGACAGAAGCGATAATTTTTGCAATAATTTTTT